AGCATTGTGCGACGGGAAACTTTCAACTCGGAGCATGGTAATGACACTACACTGTCCATACGCTCCATCGATTCGGAGCAACGCTTATCCGTCGAGCCAGCTGTCGAAGCAGAAATCAATGCTGACGCTGACTATGAGCCCCACCCAACGGGTATTGTGCTCCGCCGTGTGGGCTACTATACCATACCTTCTCTGGAAGACCTCAAGTCGTATCTGGCCGAGGATGGGTCCTGCGTGGTGCCCAATTTTACAATTGGCCGCGAAGGTTACGGCAACGTTTACTTTGGCAAAGAGCTTGACGTAGCCGGCCTTAATCTGGATGAGATTGGTAATTGCTTGTTAACTTGTTTACATTACGCAAAGTATTTTAATCATCTTCTTTACTGGCTCCGACAGTACATTTTCGCAACAAAGAGGTCATHATATATCCGGACGATGACAATAAGCCACCCATTGGCAATGGCTTGAATCGTGAAGCTCAGGTTACATTGGATCAGGTGTGGCCATTAGACAAGACCAAGCATGAAGCCATCAAGGATCCACAGCGCTTGCTCGAAATCGACTGGGAGGGCAAATTGCGTCGCGTCTGTGATAAGAATTCAACACGTTTCATTGAGTATAGGCCAGAGACAGGCAGTTGGGTGTTCCGCGTCAAACACTTCTCCAAGTACGGTCTGAACGACAGCGACGAGGATGACGATGTGCCCACGGATCCTAAAAAAGCCAAAACAATTACCACGGATGCGCAACGCTTAGCTACCACTTCTACCGATAAAGTGAAYTTGACCTCTTTGCACAATGCCCAACGGATTTCGGAAGAGGCCGCACGCAACATAGATCCAAAATCATTGGCCGCCGGCGTTGCCAGCGGCTTTCGCCCCATGGACAACTCGGCGGAGTTTTTAATGATGGATAAGACACGTAAGTAGCTAGATCATAGTTTCCTGATCGATAACCATTCAAATTGTATTCTTGTTTGCCTTTCCCCAGAGTTCTTTCAAGCCGGCAGCGGCGCAGATTTTACCATGTTTGATGCACCACGTACTGTGCCTAGCCCAACAGCTGCTCTGGCCCAGGATATTGTAGGCAAACAACCGCACAAAATGCARTTGATGAAATCATCWCTGTTTGTAGAAGATCAAGGCAGCGACGATGAATTAGGTATGAATACGTTTTGAGGATCTCAATCTATCAATCTATTTGTCTAAATCTCAAAATATGGATAGAAGAGACCTCGATAATAAACTATATCTCTTGTGATTTCTCATCTAAAATTGGTTTCTACCTCAATAGATGCACAGCCAAAATTGAATCCACCTCAGGTGAAGCGCACCCCCAATTTATTTAACAAGGACACATATCTGTGGAAGGAACCGGCTGCATCGGAGAGCTCAAGTGATTATGGTCGACAATCACCACTTTTGGCCGTCTCCTCATCTGCTTCAGTTACCAGTATAATTCGCGACGTCCAATCGGAGGAGGTAAATTCAGATATTAAATTAAAATATCAAATATAAAACAAATGATAAATATTGTTTTTTGGTTATCCTTGCAGGCTTCATCGGTGGTAGCTGAAAGTGTGAAGCCAGCCCAAAAGAAGACTCCAGCAACATCTTTGGGCAACCAACTCAAACCATTCGACTTTGTTATAAAACCCAAAGTGGCACCTATTAAGGTYTTCGGCTCAGTAGTACCCTTGACTCGATCCATAGCATATGGTCACTACAGTCACTGGATTGCAGATCTCGGCTTCTACAAAGGACGAAGCTTCAAACTCAGCTTTGGACCACAAAACACATTAATGATACCCAACACGTTTAACAATCTACGCAGCGTTCATGAGGGTGAGTGCACATATATACAACCAGGATTCTTTCAAGTACAAMTACATATTTTGTTTTATAGTCAAAAACAAGATGTTGCCCGCGGCGCTAGTGTTTCAGCCACGAGCCTCTAATGATTTATCATCAAATGTGCTACAGCGTATAAAGTTCAACACGGTGGATATGTATACTCAGTTTGCCGAAAGCATTGTGCCTCATTTGATAGTCCAACTGGAAGATTGCAGCTTCAACAAGGTGGAGGGCAGCGGATGCCCTTGGCTGCAGTCCAACAATGGAACACAACTGATTGCCAARCACCTGGCCGAAGCCATTAAGCTGAACAATACCAGCACCATGGCTGCCTATGGTGTGTCCGTGTGGTCGCTTCTATTTGCACTGTGGGGAGAGCATGATGAGCTCATTGGACGGGATGACAACTCACATTATGTGATCATGTGTCGGCGCAATCTGCTTTCGGAGTGGTTGGAAAACACGCTGGTTAGCAAAGACCTGTTATCAAAGAAGGTCAGCAGCAATAGCTACCTAGAGCACATGCTAGAATTGTTAAGCTGCCATCGTGTAACCGAAGCTTGTGAATTGGCTTTTAAATACGATGATGCAAACTTGGCTTTGATCCTGGCGCAGCTTAGCTCTGGGGCTGTGGTGCGTCTACTCATGGAGGAGCAACTGTTTGCTTGGCAACAGAGCAAATCCGATAAATACATAAGCCTGGAGCGTATCAAGATGTTCATGTTGGCCGCAGGCGTGCCACTAATGATGTCCTCGCATGGTCCCATAAATCTGCTTGAGGACGGTAACTGGCTAAACGTATTGGCGTTACAGCTWTGGTACTTTACTGCGCCCACGTCGACAATAACTGATGCCTTGCTGGAGTACGACAAGGCCTTCCAAGCCGAAGAGCTCTACGCGCATGAGCCGAAACCAAGTTACAATGGCACCCCCTACAAGAGCAAGAATCCTGTATATGATYTGCGTTACCACCTGCTGCAGCTCTTCTCCAAGCGTAAGCATTCCYTGGAGCAAACATTGAACCCAATTACACATACCTCCGATCCAATGGACTTTCGGCTGAGGTAAGCTCTATTAATAGTAGTTWTAATAAATAGTTAATAATTTGTCCATTATTTGTAGCTGGATGCTGCTGCAAACCTTAGAAGCACTAGGCTATAGACATTGCARCCCCTTGACAGAGGCGCAGTTTCACGTGGATTTTGCCAGCCAGCTAGAGAATGAGGGCTTGTGGCAATGGTCCGTATTTGTGCAATTGCATATCAAAGATCGTAATCAGCGTGAACGCGCTGTGCAGCACACACTGCAACAGCATGTCAGCATAGACGCCCATGCGGCACTGAGCGAAGAGGAGCAGTTTGTCATCCACCAATTAGGYGTGCCGGAAACYTGGGTGGACTATGCAAAGGCATTAAAAGCTGGTGCCAAAGGCCAGCGCCACATGCAAGCAAAGTATTTATTAAAGGCCAAGCACTGGGTGTTAGCCCATGAAATCATCTACCAATATATTGCACCAGATGCCGTGATAAACAGTAATTTTAAAATATTTTTTTATATTTGTTATTCCTTATATTAATCTAAACTTTTATTGCAGGTAACTTGGAGTATTTGTACAATCTGCTGAGCCAGTTTGAGTCTACGGACAGCACCGTCAAAGTACCAAACTGGACAAATCAGGGTCAGATATTTCTGGATTACATTGATATCAACGAAAAGTTCAAGCACATACACAACGTAAGCAGCGTGGAGGATATACAAGCGCGCTGGGAAAATCTGAAGCCACAGCTCAGTGAAATTTGTTCACGTATCAGTCTGCTGCCATGCCCCACATCCAAGCATCGTCTTTGCCAGAGCGAAATAGCAAAGAGCTTGAGCTGCTTGGTGAATGGCATGTGCATAGTTTGTCCTGAACTGGAGCCATGTGTTGTATTAAGAATGGCTTTAGAGCGTTTGCCCATGCCTCAAGAGTTTTCCACCAAAGAGCTCAACAATCTGCTCGACGAGCTGATGCAAAAGATACAGAGCCAGCGACCATTCACGGAATCGGAAACAGCGCCACTCCGGACCAACGAGAGCATATTGATGCAAAGCTAAATAATATGGACACATTCATAGATAGATAAACCTGGAAAAATTGAAAAACAGACGATATATAGTTTAGCCTACCAACCATTTCAATTAGAGTTAATATATATATATATAGTTTTACATATAAAAATACGCATGCAGTTAACTGTTATGACAAAAATATAAATAACTTAAAAGAAAAATGAAAATTTGTGTAAAGTAAGCTACGTTTCGTTACAAACCTCAGCTAGAAATGCTATCACTTAACTTTAGTTATTTGTTCACCATTTAAAATTGCTAAGATGTCAATAATTATTAACTACGTATTTTTGATAAACAATAAAATTGATCTTTGTTTTAGTCGGTTAAAGTTGAAAGTGAATTATGTATGTACCGGTAAAGATTAAAGTTAATTTAACAGCTTTGATAAGCAAAACAAACAAAAAATCAACTATTTACTGTAAGCTCAATGGTTTCATTGTTGGTCAATAACTAAAAACTAGTTCGATTAAACTGGCTGTGGGTCGATTTTTCTCAGCTTTAGTATATTTTGTATAAAAACTGCGCGATGATCATCGGTATCAGCTGAGATAAGGCTTTTTAAAGCCCCCCTTAGATGTGAATCGCACCTGCGGTGCTTGATACCTTTAACTGTCTGATTAGTCGTCGATGGACTTTTGTTAGGATTGCAGCGTTTGTAATCAACTTTAGTTACTTGGGTTATAGTAACGAAAATACGTTCAAAGAATTACTAATTAGTTGGAATCTATTGCTTAGAATTCAACAGGTGGTCATGACGGAATCCAAACCVAATTCCTGGTGTGGACGCCATGACAAGCCACGCGAGTTTGCCAAGCATCAGCCCATCATATGCTATGACAAGCCGCCCTCCGCTCTTGTTTCTAAAGAAGAATACGATGTACATATGTATGTTACAATTTAATTTTTTCAATTAAATAATGGGGATCGTCTTCTTGCCTTTCAGAATAAGCGCTATGAAGCGTTGACTGGCGAGCTCGTGGAGACATTGGTGGTGCCCAAACGTGAGGCGCGCACCTGGACCATGCAGACAGGTGATCTGTGCCGCATAACAGTGCACGAGGGCCCTCAGGTGGGGGATGTCAATTTCTGGAACTTGGATAATTGCCAAGAACGTTTCTATTCGGGGAAAACGCGCCAGCTGCACGCAGCCCATCTGAAGGTGTACGACAGATTGTGGAGCTGCCTGCCCTACCTGCGCCCAATGGCCACCTTCGTGTTCGACACCCTTGCCCAATATGGCATCGATGAGGATGGCGGCGCACTGCACGATGTTATCGGCACTCGATGTGAYGACTACACCTACAAGCTGATCACCGGGCAAGAGCGTGTGGGCAGCTGTCACAGCTCCCTTGTCAAAGCTGTGGTGGAGGAGCGCGGCATGACCGAGCAGG